TGTGATGTAATTTATAAATATTTCTTAAAAAATTTCATAATTTTATCTTTTAATGTATTATTTTAAGGTTGGACTTAGAACTTTTGACTGTTTCAATAAGTTTTATAGCTATTAATATTAGTAAATTAAATAATGCTAACAAAGCCCAAACCAAAATCAAATCAATACTAATGCTAACAAAAGATATTCAATTCAATAGTCAATACCACGAACGGGAATGTATTGAATATCTATTTTTTGTTTTGCAATAATTTAGATAAAAATATAATTAATACTTCCTTATTAGTCTACTTACTTTAGCATGACTTAGTACTTTTAGATTATGTTTATTTTTATTATGGTTTTTTAATTAGCAATATTTATATTACATAATTTTTATTGTCTTTATTGTTGAATATGTTAGGATAATGCCATGACACATCTCATATTTTGTATTATTTTCTTGGAAAACACTTTATATAATTGTATCTTACTAGGATTAAAGAAATATTTTGTGCACAGGTTATATATTTTGTTCTACGAAGATTTTACCGGAAAAAAACCCCGAATAACCCGAAAATCCGAGACTAAAAACCCCGAGTTTTATTAGTTTGGTTTGGTCTTTAGATTTAATAACCCGACACAATTGGTTTAGTTTGGTAATCGTAAAATCCGAACCAACCCGACCTATGTACATCCCTAATTGTGTCCTAAAGATATAATATATACAAAATATTTATGAATTACTTGAATGATGTTTCCATTTTTTTTTAAAATAATCATGTGTGAGTTGTAACCACATAGTTAATCTCCCGGTCTACTTAATTTAACTGATTTTTTTGGTTGTTTTCATACATATTAAAAAATTCACCTTTTAGCATTACTTAACAATGAAATTGAATTCACCATATTAACCTTAAATTGCTCATTGAAAATATAACAAATACTCTTAGGTTCTTTACTCCAAGGCTATTTTGAAAAAAAGAAGTTAAGTCCTTCTTAATATCTGAAAAAATCAAATATTGTAAACCATATTAACCTTAATTTATTCATTGGCAACACCATATGAATTTAAGGCAAAATTCTGAGAGTTAAAAACATAAACTAATTGACATTTGTTAAAAGAGTGTAATAAAATGATTGATTGGTAAATTATTATGTTATATTTAAGAGATGTAAGGTTTTGTATCACCAAAACCGTCTTTCTCTCTCAAAAAAAAAATGCTTTACCCGTTTAAAAAAGAATGCCCGGCTTAAAGTATAAGGATCAACATATTTAATTATAGATATAAAATTAGATAGTGGTCATGTACTTTTTAGATAAAGTTTAAATATGTAGAAACAACATAAGAATGTAATAATCATGATTTTTATTCCTACAAAATATTTGAAAACTTTTTTTTTGGTTAAACTTTTATTTAACCAAGTAAGAATATTTACATCCGCTAGTTCTTTTGGAATTCAGAACTAGATCTATCTATAGAACTATCTGATTAATCAGTTAACAAAAGCTTCCTATAACAATTATATGAAATCTATGAATTAAGGAAAATTCTTCAACTTTTCTAGCTCTTTGTGCCACTTTGTTTCTCTTTACCCTTCTATATGTAACTCCATTGCAATATCTTTGATTCTCTGATTACTGGCAACTATTTTCCCTTGAAATCTTCTTTTGTTTCTCTCTTCCCAAACATGGTACACCATTGCTGTGAATAGGAATATTAATATTTCACCTCGAGTTTTATTAGCAGTCCTTCTTTTCAACCATTCAATCTCATCTTCCTAGCTTCCAATCCGATGTTTTTCATTGAGCCATTGTAGCAGTAGAACCCATATTGTTCTGGCATAATCACATCCAAATCATATATGCTCCATTGACTCCTCTTCCTTTGTTGTGCATAGTACACATTCCTTTGCTACTATTATTCCCCATCTCTCAAGTCGATCAACTGTAGTCAGTTTTCTGTGTATTGCTAACCATGGTATGAATCTGTGTTTTGGTATTGCTTTAGATCCAGCTAATACTTTTTCCACAAGCTTTTTTGAAATTGAGGTCTCATAGCAATATATAGTTTATTTTATGCTAAATTTGCCATTTTTATAGTACCTGTGTAACTCAACACTTGTATACTTTTCTAGAAACCAATATCTCATATCAAAAATCTTCCTAACAAGCCAGCATGCTTGTTTAGGAGTATCCATCCTCATGCTATCTTGCCCTTTGATGTAATAGCTATGTATCCATAGGGTATCCTTCTTTGCACTAACAGCCCATAGTAGTTTACACAGTGCAGCTTTGTTCCATATATGAATGTCTAGCACATTTAACCCACCTGCTGAGAAAGGCATACAAACTATGTCCCATGCAATTAAAGCTCTTCTTGATGGCTCACCCCTTCCTGTCCATAGAAAAGTTCTACAAGCTGAAATTATTAGCTTAAGAATTTTCTTTGGCACTAAAAACACATGTGCCCAGTAAGTCTGCATCTCAAAGATTACACTTTTCAGTAATTGGAGCTTTCCACTGTATGATAGTAACTCAGCAGTCCAACAATTAATCCTAGTTGTGATCTTCTCAATCAATGGCATACACTGTTGAACTGTCAGCTTTTTAGAGGATAATGGTACTCCAAGATATTTGAATGGTAGTTCCCCTAGTATAAATTGCATCTCTTCCAGAATCATCTTTTTGAATTCCTTTGTAACACCTGCAATGTATAAAACACTCTTCTCCATGTTAGCCTTCAAGCCCGATACTTCTGAAAAATGATTGAATCTGTCCATCAACAATTGATGGATACCGTATCTGCTCTACAACACATGATCAGATCATCTGCAAAATATATGTGAGTAATATTATTTCTGGAGCACTTTGGGTGATAATTAAAGTCAGGGTTATCCTTCAGCTTCTTCAATGCCCTATTCAGATATTCCATCACCAATACAAAACGATAAGGAGACATTGGATCTCTTTGTCTTAGCCCCTTCTTCCCCTGAAATTTAGTTGTTAACCCTCTATTTAGTATCAATGAGTAGCTGACAGTAGATACACAGTTCATTATCAGCTCCACAAACTTGGTAGGCATACCATACTCCATCAATATCATTCTTAGAAAGGCCATTCTACTGAGTCGTATGCTTTCCTTATGTCCACCTTTATGCAACATCTTGGTGAGACTCCCTTTTGAGTATATCCCTTGACCAGCTCGTGTGCAATAATGACATTATCAAGTATGTTTCTCCCTTCAATAAAAGCTGACTGAGAGGGTCCCACAATTGAGTCCACTACTAGCTTCCATTTTGCTGTGAGGATCTTGGATATGATCTTGTACACTGTAGTGCATTAGGCAATAGGTCGAAACTTTTTGACAGAGTTTGGGCTAGCAACCTTAAGTACTAGTGTAATTGTTGTGCAATTAACACTCTTAAGAAACTTCCCAGTGTTGAATAATTCCTGTACAGCTTGTTTGACTTCTCCTCCAATTATGTGCCAATATTCTTTGAAAAACTCTGTTGGAAAGCCATCTATCCCTGGTGCTTTTTCATTTGGTAGCTCCTTCACTGCCATATCAATATCTTCCATAGTTATTGGGGCACTAAGCAATTGTTGTTGCTCTTTTGTAAGGCAGTGTCCATCTCTAGCTATTGCAATATCAATACAGGGGATCTCACTTGCTGAAGTGCCCAATACGCTTTGGAAGAAGCTTTTGAATTCTTGTTCAATATGCTTTGGTTCTAATACTCTCCTCCCTTGTTTATTACAAATAGATGCAGTTCTGTTCCTTGCCTGCCTATTTTTTAGTTGAGCATGAAAGAATTTAGAATTTCTATCTCCTGCTTTTATCCACACTGCTCTGGACTTTTGTCTGAGAGCCTGTTAATTCACCCCTTTCCATTTTTCAGTCTGCATAATCAACTCTCTTTCCTGCTCAATTAACTACTGGTTGAGAGGGTCATCATCCAGTTTCCTTTGAGTATTCTGCTGCTCCATTCTTAAGTTCACAAGCTTCTTCTTCAATGAGTTCATCTCCTTGTTCATTTGCCTGATTCTATTTTGTAGTCTTTGCAGCTTAATCCACACAGAGTACATAGCATACCCCTCAATTCTTTGGTTCCAGACCTCATTCACACTTTCTTTAAACTCCCTTTGATATAGCAGAACATTGTAGAGCCTAAAAGGCTTTTGTAATTGGTTCTTTATCACTTCAGTGTTTATCACAATAGGTGAGTGATCAGAAATCCCTGGTACTTCATATATAGCTTCTAGGCTACTATACTTTGTAAGCCAAGAGGCATTTCCAAATACCCAATCAATATTGCTATAGATTTTATCTCCTGCATCCCTTTTATTGCACCATGACCATTGACATCCTTTTCTATTCAATTGTCCCACTCCAATATCTCTTATACAGTCTTGGAAATCCACTAATTCAACTTGATGTATAGGTTGATCATTTATTATATCATTAATAGATAGAACACTATTAATATCTCCTATGACCAACCAAGCCTCCTGCATTGTGCTATGAATCTGCCTTAGTTGATCCCATAGCTCCCTCCTTTCATGCACTTTGTTCTTTCCATATACAAAACTGATGTAACATGAGAATTGTGACCCTCTTTCCTTCACTTGGCAATGGATCAATTGAGTAGTAACCATCAGAATTTGGACTTCGACCATACTGTCCTTCCAAAATAACCATAACCTCCCAATAGGACTTATCTTTTCATCTGAAAACACCTGCCAATCCCTACATAACTTACTTTTAACTTTGCTAATACTTCTAAGCTTTACCTTTGTCTCAAGGCAGCCTAGTAAAGTAATTTTGTGCTTCTGCAGAAAGGCCTTGAGTTTTCTCTGCTTGTAGGGCTTATTCAGCCTTCTTATATTCCAAGAGCTTATTATCATGGTGGATTCTCCTCATTGAGGCCAATCCCTTCAGTCACCTTTGCAGTGCTGCAATTCTCTTGTATTCTCAGAGAGCTATACCTATTAGTCATTAGCAGCTTCTCTATCTCATTGTCATTTAGAGCTCTCATGTTTTGAATTTGTACTTTCATCTTCTGCTTTCCTTTGGATCTTTGTTGTGGCTGGAATGCCTCTTCTTTTTCAGCATTCTGTTCTGCTTTTTTCTGTTCTTCTTGTTGTTTCTGCAGCTTCTCACTTGTCTCCCCATTATGTTCTTTCCCTGTCTCCTGTTGTGCTAGTATTTCTGATTGCTCAACAGCTTGTGTTACTTCTGATTGCTCAACAGCTTGTGTTACTTCTGATTGCTCAACAGTAGTAGATTTTACTTTCCATTGTGTTTTCCTCTTCTGTTGCTTGAATGGTTTCCCTTGTTTTTGTTGTTTCTCCTCCTTGTGCTGCTACTTTTCTGCTGGAGCCTTCTCACAGTTGAATTCATGCTGTCCTATTTGGAAACATACTTCACAGAATGAAGGTCTCCATTCATAATCTAGGGCTTGCTCCATATATTTGCTATCAGCCTCCTCAATTAGCATTCTGTCCGGCAATTCCTGAGAGACATCCATTTCAATTAACATTCTCGCATAGGATATTCTATCTCCTTCTGTCGTTAATCTATCAGAACATATATGTTTCCCTATATAACTTGTTATTCGACCTAGATTCTCCTTTGTCCAATATTCAACTGGTAACCTTGGAAATAGTACCCAAATTGGGACATTTTGCGCCATTTCTTTACTCATCTGAAACTTAGGCACCCACTGTTTCAATATAGGTCGATTATGAAATGTGTATGGTCCTTTCTGAACAACTTTATTCTTATCATCTTTAGATTCAAATCTGAACACAAAATATCCATCATCATGAAGAAATACCTGCGGAATTGCTACGAAGTTCCACACGCCATATATGAATTTGAGCATCTCTTTGAAAGATGGATTTCCGCCCAATACATACCCAATTAGTGTTGCTTGCCACTTTTAGATTTGCTCAGCCACCTTTACTTGATTCAGACGAACTACCTTTACTCCTTCTTTGATAATTGGGGGATAGTACTCCAATTGCATCCCCTGTTGTAGAGATCTGTTGCCTTTAACCACCTCAGCTAGTGTCGTCTTTGTTCCCTCATGGTTTGCGCGTTGATTTGAGAACGTGGGCTTCCTAGCTGCTGTGTTGTTATCCACCTCTACTGGTTGATCTTTCTCCATTTCAACACACTTTGAAGCTTGCATGACAGTTGGTGCACTCCCCATTCCAGTCATCCATTGTACTAATTGCATTTGACTTACCGTTTGTGGAATCCCCGACTCCGGTGTTACCATTCTTTCTCCTTCTGCCGCCTCCGGTTTAGCTGGCAGTGCCGTTGTCTGTGATTTCCGTCAAGTCATCGTGATGTGCGTACGTTAGTTATCTCTGCGTAACGTGCGCCTTCAAAGAGAGCATGACTCTCCTTGACTTCTTCATGTGTTTACTTCTTTATATTTTGACACTCCTTATATTTGAAAACTTATAGTCTAAGAAAAGCTGTTTCATTGCAAAAATCGTAGTTGTGTTAGTAAATTAGGAGTTAGGATATTAGGTGTATTAAAAAAAAATAAGAATAAGAACAAAAGAAATTGTTGCAATAATATGTGGGGTCAAATGGATTTGCTCGTGAGTAACAAGAAAGCTGGACCAAATTTGCAACCAAATTTATGACATACCTCTATTTATTTATTTATTATTTAATTGTGTATTTTTCATTATTATAAGATGGGCCCTCTTAAATCTGATAAATAAAGGCATTCGTGGATAAATAGGTTCCAAAAAAAAAAAAAAAAAAGATTAATAGGTCTCTCTCATTTGACGATTTTCTTCCGTTTAGATTGTCTTTTATACCAACCAAACCATACACCATCACGTGGGATGTCAAAACAAAAGTCTTTTTAGAATAAAAAAGTAAATTATACTCTATCACTATTATTTCNTTCCAAAAAAAAAAAAAAAAGATTAATAGGTCTTTCTCCTTTGACGATTTTCTTCCGTTTAGATTGTCTTTTATACCAACCAAACTATACACCATCACGTGGGATGTCTAAACAAAAGTTTATTTAAAAGAAAAAGTTAAATTATACTCTACCACTAATATTCCTATGTTTTAAAATAAATTATTAGAAAAGAGTAATATTAAAATAGCGCCAAGATTTATGAAATGTAGACACGCATAGGAAATAAAGCAAAAAAAAAGAAAGAAAAAAAAAAGAAGAAGCTTGAAAACGTCAAGCATAATTTGACATGATCATTAAAATACAGAAAGTTATTTAACATACAAAGTATTCTAAAGTAAACTCCTAGTAAGTTGAACTCAACTAGGGAGTGTAAAATAGATAGTCTGACACACAAAAAGATTATATGTAAAATTGCTCTTTTTGTTTGGTTAATAAGTTACAAATGTCTTAATTAATAGTGCAATAATATGAATTTATCTTGACAAAGAAAAAAAATTACTCATAAAAACAAAAACAGGAAAAAATAAAAATATTACTGTAAGTAATAAAGGGAAGGCCACTAATCACTGCGCAAAGCTAAAAAGGAAAAGTTTCTTTTGTAAAGAACTAAAAATGAAAAAAAAAAAAGAGAAATAAAAACATATTTGAGAGCGTCTACCGTAATCGTAGCCATGTGACTTGTTTCCGTTCCGTGTGTATTTGCGAGCCGTAATTGGAGGAACTGTGGCCCCATCCGGGACCCGAAATAGGAGAAAACGGGTCAAACTAAATTTTACAGAGAAAAAAAGGTCAAACTATATCATTAATAGACAAAAAAATTGCTCAAATACCGTATTTCAATAAATACATAACAAGTCTCTTTATATATAATATCATTGTTAACTAATATATTGGGTTAATAGCACTTTTAGTTCTTTAATTATTAAAAAGTTCTAATTTTAATTCTTGTGATATGTGATTAAACACCTTTAACTATGGTAAGCTAATGTAAAATGTGTAAACACTGGACATAAATAAATGTTTTTCTAATTCATATTTCACCTGTTTTATTTTATGTAACACTCTTAGAGCATCAGATAGTTTTTTCTCACTTTCACTTTATCACATATCTTTTAAGTATTCTTAATTTCTAAAAAGCTGTAATTTATATTTATGTAGTTTATAATTA